TTGTTGATGAATTACAATTAAGTTACGCATTAAATTTTTAATTGTCTCATAATATTTATATAAGAAAGATGATTGAAATTAATCAACTATGAGTTTTTATATGTAATTACAAATGAACGTATATAGAAAAGTCAATTATTAAAATTGCGCTCTGTTAAATCTATTTCATCAGTATTTGAATTTAGTAGCGTGACATTTTCAATTTATTCTTACATAAAAAACACTCCTCTTCATTTTTCTCATGTGTATTCATTGATCATTATTTGAGATTTGACATTTAAATATATTAGATTCAATGAAATTAATGATGAAAGCTCGAAAGAATACTCCCAGAATAAAATCGAGCAACTCTAGAGATAATGCTAAAAGACATTGTAAAATAAATTCTAATGTCGAATAGACTCTTTTCGAAGAATATTCCTATGAAAATCAAAGATGAAAGTTTTAGAAGAGAGCAAAAATTTGCATAGAAAATAGAAATTACTTTACAATAAAAGATAATGCATAAAGGAAAACTTATTGGTCGATAAAAAATTCAAGAATATGTACTGAGATTTGTTGAATACTAATCAGAAGACAAATAGTTTAGTGGATAATTAGAAAAAAGATATATCAAAGATGTATTCGATGTAAAAAAACAGATAATTTTCAAGATAAATATATCTATACGCATGATTAAGTTATGAAAAGATTTTAATTCTTTCATCATACTTTGTGCATAATTATAAGGTAAGAAATTATTAGATATGAAATTTACTTAAAAGGTTTCTATCAATTCTACATCATGAAGTGAAGAACAGTTTGAACAAAAATATACCGAATACTGTATACAGAAACCTGCCGTATGATCCGATATAGATAAATGAAATAAACTTGCATGTTTCATTAAGAAGTTAAATAATATAAGCGATACATATTTTATTGTTAGAAAAATCATTTTAATATATTTTAGTCGAATCACACCTATTAATAAAGACCTTGCTCCAAATCTACGCCGTCTGAAAATAAAATGTTTGAATTCATTCATTAGTATGACATCAATTAATAAATTATTTGAGCGTGATGTTTTATTTTCATTGACGAGCTTCACATTATTAGCGAAGATAGATGGTTCTCATGTTCTTCGCAATTTACTATCAATGCTTTCCAATCAATGTTTATATTCGTTTGATGTTAAATGGTTTGCGAGAACTGAAATGCCACCACCAAATACAAACAAAATCTTATCCAATGTATTTCAAAAGCTTAAAGGATCAGTACCAATTGAATTAGAAGTATCGTTACAAGAATACACGATATATTCTATTAGAGCTGTAACAATACCAAGAATGGATAAATCTTTATGTGTCGATTCGCATCTAAATAAAAATACTGTGCATGGTATAAGCAGACAGTTTTTTTTTATAGCAAACATTTTTTTTTGAATTTAGACAAAGTCGGTGGCCATATAATAGATGTGTCTTCAACAGTCAATTGTTCCATTGCAATGAGATTATTATGGATAAGGATTATCGGATCAACGACGAATTTCTTTCTTTATTATCACCTATCGTTCCTTGGCATTAAGTTACATCGCTTAGTATTGCTCATCCATTCAATTCAACTCATCTTTGCTTTCTCTTTTCGCAAGCGATTAATCTACGTACTCTAGAACTACATTATAGAAGAGAAATTGAGTATACATGTGATTCGAAAAAGGAAAATTTAATTCATCTCTTTAACGATGCTTCTTTGTGTAATATGCTCATGTCAAATGGCTTACGACAACTTAATCTTTTTTTCGCTATACATCAATCAAATTTGGTAAAAATTGCCTATTTAATCATCGAACGACTACCTCGTTTGCAAGTCATAAAACTAGATGGTCTTAACGATCATTTGATTGAAATGTCACATATGTTTATCAATCGTCTCGAGAAATTAAATTTTCTCAGTATTACTGGTGGTATTGAAGATGGTAAAATTTATGAAAAGACATTGCGTAATTTGAAAACTTCAAATAATCGTTCTTTTCGAACGGAAGTTCCTAAGACGACAGATGAAGAGATACTTTTCATATGGCTATAATAACATGAAATTGCGAATATTTCTTTGCTTTGTTCTATTTAACCTTTTTTTTTGGGAAAAGAAGTGTAAAAATTTTTACATACAAATAAAATGAAACTTTGAATTTTGTTGTGTTTATTACATCAAATAAAAAGATCTTTTATTTCGATATTAAGTTAGAAATAATCTATCAATGGTAGTAATATTAGCAATAAGTTCTTCTATAATTTGACATATATAATAAATAGATTTTCAATGAAAATCTTACTGATTAAGAGAGGGCCCATGAGAAAATCGACCAAATATATCAGATATTAGCATTTGAAAAATTTTTTATTTTGAAATGAGTTAGACCATTCGAAAGAGCATAAAAAGTTAGGCTTAGAACCAAATTTTAGCTCTTTATGAAAACCCCATCATGATATATGAAGGTATCTTTGAAACCATCCTCGGATCTTATTTTAAAAATTTTGGAAAATTAGATTATGTCTTATGGATTGTTTTAAAGACTATCACACTCTACAAGCATTTTAATTCATGTACTTTGTGATATTTTTTGCGAAATAAACGTTAGTTTGAATTTATAAAAATTTTTATTATATAAAATAATCCGGTACTCAAAGGGTTAACTTATGCTCGATCTATGGAATAGAGGAGAACGAGCTAATAGAAAAAGGCGATTTTTTTTCTCCGAGGGAGAATAGAGTGAATACTAAAATGAAGCGAAACAGAATCAACATGTGTCGTTGACAATGCTATTGCAAAGGCACACTTTTTGAGACCTGTAGAGTGTCAGTGTGAATGTGAATGTAGATCACGCTGAGAGTAATATCCACTCACGCATCCAC